GTAATATTAATGTAAACAACATAAGTAATGAATCTGTAAAGGTGGTGCACATAGGCAATCAGTAAACAATGTGCATTGCATGTGCCCTCTATAAGTGTTTACTTTTAGATCTGAAGGTAATGTAATGTAAATGTATCATAAGGTAAATGCAATATAAATGTACGTAAATAACTCCACTTAATGAACCTAATAAGTAAATGCGCATTATGCCCTTGTTTGACCCTGTATTGCAACTAATTATTCTGGCCAAAATTAGATAAAGGTGGACGTGGCGCTATACCAATTAACCAACTGGCAGAGGGATTTCGCCCACGTCCTCCGTCGCATGTTGTAGTAAGGAATGCCCCGAAAGACCAGGAAATACAGATATTGAAAATACTAATGAAGACGAAACACCAAAAAATTCCCAAAATAAGCGAATTCAACAGACCCCAGCTACTCTCAGCCAATCACATAATTTGGGCACTGCCCCGAACAAGCAATCATATGCGGCGATTACCCAGAGCAACCCAAAGACGGTTAACGACAGGACATCGCTTAAGAATAATAAAAAATTAATAAATAATTATAAAGAAAACCAATCCTCCAAAATAAACGAAAACCAATCCTCCAAAAATAAACGAAAACCAGTAAATACAGATACAGAAGAACAATCCTTTGAAGAGTTCATCGGGTTCATTACTGAAATTTACCAAATTTACCATCAATACAAGCAGGCATCTAACCCCGACTCCAGGCTCAAGACTGCAATGGCAGCACTAGAGAGTAACATTAGAGATATTCATCCAGAACGAACATGAATAATTACGCCCATACGGCTAATCCAAATACCATGCAACATATTAATTATGCCAAGTTTACGTTTTATAATAGTAATGGTATTAAAAATCAAAAAATTGAAATTCAAAACTACATCAACCAGCACAGTCTTGATATAATTTTATTAAGTGAAACCCACCTCAAACCGAATGTCAAATTTAAAATTTCCAACTACAACATCTATAGATTTGACCGTCTTCATAACCGTGGTGGCGTTACAGCTATTCTCATGAAAAAATGTCTAAACAGTACCATCTTTTCTCTTCTCCTCATGAGCTTTGAAGCAAGTGCATGTATTTTGAACAGTGATAATAAAGAATATCTCATTATTGCTGTTTATAAGCCACCCAACAATAGACTCAACACTCAAGATCTTGACTATATTCTCAACTTATCCAACTATTATTGTTGGGAACCTAAATTGTAAGCACGTTAGCTGGAACTCCAGGTGAAATAATCCAGACGGAATTATCGTTAATAATTACATCAACAATAACCCTAATATCAAAATTTATGGTCCAGCTGAACCAACATCTTCATCAAAACAGCATCTTCATCAAAACTCAAACATTTCTGATGTATTAGACATCTTAATTACCTTCAATGTTCCTCAAATACCTTTTCTCTCAGTGGATAATGAACTTTCTTCAGATCACCTACCAGTACGCTTCACTTTATATGGCTTAAAGCATGGTTTTCCGCCTATAAAGTGTCGCATTAATTGAGAAAACTATGCTTATCACCTTGAAGAAAACATATCTGCTACCACTAAAATGACTAATAGCAGCAAAATTCATGATGCCACAGTCTATCTTAGCAGTAAAATCAACGAAGCCATCAACCACGCCAAATTTATTCCAAAACAGACTAATTATACGCTCCCACACAATATTAGACAGAAAATTACAGAGAAAAATAGACTAAGAAAAATTTATCAGCGTTCCCACTCCACCCAAGGCAAAAGAAGATTTAATGCTGCCAATCGAAACCTCAAAAAACTTATCCAAGAGTACAGAAGCAATTGCTGGGATAACTTCATTGAAAATCTTTCGCACATCGATCACTCCGTGTGGAAAGTTGCTAAAGCTCTCCGAAGCACTCCCTCCAATATTGTACCCATTCTATATGATAATAATACTAAAATTTACGATCATAAGAAAATTGTCAACCTCTTCGCTGATAACTATGAACAACAGTTTACTTTAACTAATTTCCCACACCCGAATGATATCAATATTATCAATCACGTGACCGATTAGCAAAGATCCTGAAAATCAAAACAACCCGACTTCTTCCAAAGAAATACAGAAATTAATAAAGAAACGTAATCCAAAGAAAGCATCTGGATATGACAATATCACTAAAAAGGCCCTGCAATGTCTCCAAGGAAAGGCATCGTCTTTATTACAAATATTTTTAACGCATGTTTAAGACTTAATAAATTCCCAAAAAATTGGAAACACGCCATTCTTACTGTCATTAAAAAGCCTGGCAAAGTTGGAAATCTCACAAGTAACTTTAGACTGATCAGTCTTCTGCCTGCGATTGCCAAACTTTTCAAAAGGCTTGTTGAGTCTCGACTCACCACTTTTAACATCATCAAAGACCATCAATTCGGATTTCGCCAGGGATTCTCAACGACTCAGCAGATTGCCTGAATCGTGGAATTCATAGGTGAGAGTTTTAATAAAAAGGAAGTAGTTGCTATTTTTATGGACATAGAGAAAGCCTTCGATAAAGTTTGGCATCACGGTTTTATCATTAAGGTGATGAACTATAATTTCCCACCTGCCATCATCCATCTAATCGCTGATTTTTTAAAGAACAGAACTTTTCAAGTTAAGATTCAAGATAACTATTCCACGACAAGAAACATTCACGCGGGTTTACCACAGGAGTCGGTAATTTACCCGCTTCTCTATAATTTATATATTAATGATCTTCCTAATATTGAAAATATTCTCACGATGACACAGCACTTTTATGTCACTCTCTTAATCAATATCATGCAAGAAATAAACTGCAGAATGCCATTGATTACATTTAACCCTGGTTTAAAGGATGGAAAATAAAAATTAACCCCGAAAAATCAAAAGTGATTTACTTTAAAAAAGGAAATATCCCTCAAGACTTAGAAGAAATTACGATGAACGGACAAATCGTGTCACGTGACCACCAAGTAAAATATCTAGGTATTTATCTCCACCAGAAGTTAACTTTCAAATTTCATGTTAATTATATCAGAGACAAAGCACAACGTGCCTTAATGAGCATTTATCTTTTAATGTGCAAATATTCGAAGATAAATATCAACACTAAAAGAATACTCTATCTACAGGCAATCCGACCCATAATTCTATATGCCGGCTCGGCGTGGGCAGCTACTGCACGTTCAAACAGAGCAGAGCTTCAAGGTTTACAGAGTAAAACTCTCAGATTCCTATCAAACTCTCCGTGGTTCGTTAGAAACACTGTCATCCATAATTATCTAAAGATTTTACCATTAGATGCCGAATTACTAAAGATTACATTCAAATTCTACGAAAAATGTGATTCCTCCACTCACGAAGTTATTAAAAACATAGGGGAGTACGACTATCTAATAATCGAACAGCCGCATAAACGGCCCAGAACTATACATCATTATGTTAGATGGTGTTTCTTGTATATATTTTATTATTTTCAACTATTTAATCTAGATTTTGTTTCATCTTAGTATGGACTTTGTCCGGTACCAAAGGCTGCTGACTTTATCATCATTAAATTCGTATATCACGTGACAGTCTACTTCCCTATGAGTATTAATATATAGGTACTTTCGCCTCAGACGAAAGCAAAAACATTTCTGGGATTTGTATATATTATTTTCTATTTTTACTGTACGATACCGTGTCAGATCTACGATGATGTGTAAAAGATATGCGAAAGTTATTAGTTGCTATTATTGCTTATCCAACGAAGACTTCATGTTTGGCCGATATATGGCACCACGCCTGATCAACTTCTTCACTACTGAAGACTTTGCACTTTTATTACAAGTGCACAGGATTTTTCCATTTTTTTTGGAATTTAACGAACTTCTACAGGTCCTTAGGGGATTGATAAACATGTAGTGGTAAAGGCCTTCGGGTCGAACACCACTTAGCGAATGATGATCTCCGATCGATCGTTGCTTCCCTCTTGCGTCTCGTATGCGAGAGGCGGTCACGTGATCTTGTTGGTGAGCGCGTTGCCATTCTTAGATGTAAAAAGAAGCTTATCCCCCCCATATATATAAAATGCGTACGAAATGTTACACTATGTAAAATAGTTCACTACAGATGTTTGCTTGCTTCTCAAAAGTAAAAATTATAAGAGTAACGTTAATGCTTATTGTTCTCTTAATTTATTTAACTTGTAAGATTCTGGCTAATTTAACTTTATTTTGCTGGCTAGATCTTTACTTAAACTGTGAAGCGCCTATTCGCCAACTTCAAACCGTATCAATGACAAGACTTGAAAAGACCCTTTTATCCAACTTAAGAAGGAATTAACAGACGGCATTGCTGGTCCTAACAAACTTAGTCAATACTTTTCGCTGCAACTCAAAATAGAAAACAAAATTAAAACTAATTGCTAGTTAAATAATCAGCCGAAGCTGCAGAGAGATAATCAACGCGAGTTGATTCTTAGCCCTACTACCGTCGTATACAAATCGGCAATTAATATTCGGAACCATAAAATAGCAAGCTTAAATCAGCGAAATAACGGGGCCGAACGGCAGAACAAGGCTTTGTCTGAAGTAACTCACACACCAGCTGAAATAGTATCTTTCTAACCTTCTTTGCATAATACGTGAAACTGAAATATCATCCTGGCAGGAAATTGAAATGAGGGAAGATAGAAAAGCTAAGTAACTGGAGAAAAACTGGTGAGTTTAAAACTAAATGCTTCTTTACAAACTTTACACTAATAAATGATTTTTCATATGTATTTTATCTAAAAAGGCAGTCTCCTTCGTACTTTTGAAATAAAAAGCAGGCAATATATGTATTGGCTGCTTTTTATTTCAAAAGTACCAAGGAGATTATTTTTTTTTTTTTTTTTTTTCTGATTATAGGAAAATATTTTTTTTTCTTTTCAGTATATTTTTATCTTCTTTGTATAAAATTAACTTAAAATCCGATGCTTGTTTTTTACAGATTGCTCTCCAACTTGTAAAACGTGCTTTGGAAATATGACTTCTCAATGCTTCAGTTGCAAAAAAGGTTTTCTTCTCGAGAAAGGCCGTTGTGTTAAAATCTGCAGCCCTGGATTTTATCCATCTAAAGGACATTGTCTTGGTAAATGCTCTCTGTATATTTCTTTCTTTTGCTTTAGTTATTTACATATCTAATACATTAGTCATTATTAGTAAACTTCTGCGCTCCATAATGACCTTTCTTATATAATGATACTAAGAAACAACACTAAATATACACGGTGATCGATAATAAATGAGTGGACTACATATGTATTAGTTCAAAATTTCAAAATTCCAATCCAAATATTCAGGTGTCAACCAAAGTAAATTTTGATGAATGTACGATTAACATGTTAATGAGAAATTCTTCGATATGTGGGTCAAAAGGAGTGGGCTAATCGATTAGTGCTGTGCAAAGGAGCTCTGATTTTACCTAATACCTCATAACAGTTTAGGAAATTTCTAATTAACTATTTTGGGATCAAACCAAGAAAATAATAGATGATTAAATGATTTGTGATCTCCAGCTCTCACAAGGTTTGTGATAAAACAGTGTGACTGAACTCCTTAAATTTCTTTCTCAGTCTCTCCTAAATTTGAAAGAAAAGAAAGACATTTTCGAAGTCTGAATGCGATAACTGAGTAAATATCGAAACCTACTAAGGTATGAAGAAATATTCTTACATTTTTATGTATTGAGGTATTGTAGGTTTTGCTGATTTGCTCAATAAATATGAACACCATATGAATATAAAGTCTATCTCTAATCCTTCCTTGCTGCTAGTAGATTTCAGATTACATGGAACTCTCGTTACTAAGCTTTACAGTCCTCTTCGTCATTATACCACTGGGAAATTCAGAATTTACTTCAACTTGTCTCAGTCTTCGCTCTTGCTATCATCAACTCATTCACTGTGGTTCTGCACTCAACTATTAACTTGGTTCTACACTCCCATTTATGAGTAAAAATCTCATGAACGTCACTGCTCGTGAGGTAATACTAAGCAATTCAACATTTGAATCATTTTGGATGTTCAAAACAGTTTTCGAAATTTTATTATTGAGGCATTCCTTCTCTATAATCTTACATACCACACCTCTGAAAGCAGGCAATTTACTGTTCTAAGGCATATTTAAAATTTTAATTTCTTCAAAAAGTCAATTGCTTGTTCAACGGATAAAGAAATATGATGTTTTTGCTAAATACCTTAATACTATTCAGAATGCAAAGGGGAAACCTTATTTTAAGATTTTTTTCTAACTATAGACCTTGTTATAAACGTTTATGCCCTACATTGAATTCAACACTTAAATTGAATTCAACATTAAATTCAACATTGAATTCAACACTTAAATTTCAAACACTCTAGCAGGGGTAGAAGCAAATGCTGATATATTTCAATCATGATACATTATTTATTCATTAAAATTTACGTTTCATATTTATTCAACAAATTTTGTTTTACATGGTAGAATTTTAAGATAGGAATACTTACACCACGCAAAATCACTATTTTATATCAAACATTGTGATTTATATGGCATAAATGTTCAGATCTTAAAATCATTCTACTATCTATGAAAAATAAGTTTAAAATAGTCATTTTTGCTGATTGTTCAAAATTTTTATGTTTTGGTAAAATTTTTGGAAATTTATTTTAATATAAAACCTATATTAAAGAGATATGAAATATTTTATTGTACAGAATGTCATGAATCATGCTCTGAATGCCAAGGCCTAGGAGCTGGAAACTGTACAGCATGTGCACTGACTGGCCAACTTTTACAAGATGGAAAGTGTGTAGAGGAATGTTACGGACACTTTTATGTTTCAGATAGCTATTGCTTACGTATGTAACAGTTTTCTAATAATTTTGAATTTAGTAAAATTATATACTTGCTGTCAAATATGTTTGCTACTTTATGAAATGAGTCTAAAATGATTAGTTATTGCATCATGGAGCAGTCACAACAGGGTAAATGGGCCATCATTTTAAAACTATATATAAAATTGCTAGTTTTAGATTGTTTTACACTGGCAGAATGTTTATACATGCAGATATAAATTAGGTGTAAAATTATTAAATATGAAATAAATGGCAATAATACGATGCCAGTTAATAATCATTTGATTGAGTTTTACTAGGGATGTAATGGAATTTATATAGAAATTGCTTAGAAGAAATAAAATATTTCCGAATTTTTAACTTAATAATCTAGAAACTAAATGAAAACAACATAACAAAAATTTTTAATTTATTATCTTCCATAATATATCTGAAACAGTTTCCATTCAGAGTTAATTAGTCTTCGCTTAATGTGCAATGCGGAGAAATAGGTTAAAATTTTTAATCTAAAAAAAAAAAAAGAAAAAAAAATTTGCTTGCAGTTAACTAAAAGTACTTTTATTTGGTAATATTACGCGAATACGTATATATGAAAAACAATTTTGACGCATATATCTTCTGATTTTATATTCTTTATTGAGTTATGTTATGTTCTATCAGAAAAATTTAGTTCTATTTAAAGAATTTCAAGATTTAACTGACCTTCAAAATTTTCAGCATGCAATGAGAGTTGTGCAAGATGTTTAAAAGATGGCACTTGTCAATTTTGTGAGCAAAACTTTTACCTAGAAGAAGGCGAGTGTGTACCTTATTGCAGTCCCAGCTATTACACATTTCTTGATGCATACTGTCTTCGTAAGTATTATCAGTGTTCTTTTTATTCCTTTTTTTTCGCACACCAAATTCATCTGATACTAATTACATTATTGTGAAACAAAGATCGTTATTTGAAAAGTAGTTATATATACATGTCTAAAAATGTATAATAATAAACGTGATTTGATGGTTATAGCCGAAAACACTGCGGACGAAAACGTCTCGGAGAAAACAACGCAAGTCGAAAACATCGGGGTACAAAACATCCTGGAAGAAAAGGAAGTAAAAAGAAAACATCACATTTCTAAAACATCCTGGTACACAATATCCTCGCCGAAAATAAAGCGGTTCAGTAATTTCGTAGTTTAAAAACATTATCATCGAAAATATCGTGATAAAAATAAAGTACCTACAAATCATCGCATGATGATAACATCGCACTCATGCGTTTTTCAGGTTTTAAAAGCTGTAAATGCATATTCGCATAAAGATTTGTAAGCGCAAGAAATGTTAACGACACTTTAAGAATAAACGAAAACAAAACAAGATAAAATTTTCAACTAAACATTATCAGATTAACAAAAGTGAAAGAAATGAGGTTGCCTCTATAAAAATTGCTTAGTTAATTTGATAATAAACTAAGCAATTTTTATAGAAGCAACCTCAGGCAGTTTTTTAACTTCTTTTTCATAAACATTTTTAAGCTGTGTTTTTCATGAAAATTCTGAGTAAAGCTTTATAAAAAAAGATTAGTTTATTAATGACCTTTGTTAATTAACTATGTAAATTTAAAATCCTATTAAGCGCTATAGGTTGGATTAATTTTCTACTTATTTTCAATTTTTAAATGCTTTAGTTTCCTTTTTAATTTTTCAGTAAAAATTTATTAGTTCATTCAAAAATGTGAAATACAGAAGTAAAAATATCTCTCTTTCCTTCTTAGGCTCCCAAATCACTACGCGAAAATGTATTTACAGCTTTGAAAACCTGAAAAGCGCATGTGTACGATGTTATCGTCATGCCATGATTTAAGGTGCTTAATTTTTTACCACGATATTTTCGACGACGATGTTTTTAAACTGTTTTGTACTACGATGTTTTAGAACTGCGATGTTTCTCTTTGCTTTCTTTTCTCCCATAATGTTTTTTACCACCACGTTTTCGCTTTGCATTGTTTTCTCCGCAACGTTTTCTTCCGCGATGCGGATACCGATTTGATAATTCGACAGTTAAATTTTATTTCAAGGAAAGAGCTCTGCTTGATAAACTTCCAATATTTAATTCGTGATAAACATTTCAAGCAGCAAACTCAAATGCTGTTTCTTCCCATGTTATCTATCTTTGAATATAGATTCCATTATATGTTTCTTCCTATTTTATCCATCTCTGAATATAGATTTTATTACACTTTTTAGTATACTGGTACAGTATTATAAACTAAGCTATTTCTTTTATATTATATAAGTAAGCAAAATATTTTTCTCTATGTTGTAAAGTACGATGTACTGTCGATGTACTTTAAATGTCAGTACATCAATCCAATTATTCAGAGGCTCGACTGCACAAAAGCATAGTTCTTATTGTTGATATGTATACTCAGATTCATTGTCTCCGCGATAAATGCGTGGCGTCACATTAGTAGCGGACTACTGACCAGAACTTGAAAAAGAAGGACTTGGAAATTTGGATTAAGTAAGGCAAATAAGAGGTACAGGAGAGCTATTTGCCAAATTAGCGAACCACTGATTCATCACCACGTTTTATTTGATCAAGGTGGTCTAGCTATACTGGCGGTATATATCTTCCAATCGTCTTTAATAAAGAAAATCTGGACAAGAAAAGCATTTCTCCAATATGTACTCTTAAGCTGCAAGATATCAGTATATCAAACTCTTAATTCATAGGTCCTGTGAGGAAAACCGCTCTTAGAAATTGAATTATAGTGCAGAGAAATTACGTTTTCTCACCAAGAGAAATTTTATGAAAATAGTTCTGACGTGCAATATGGGAAGGACCCATTTACTACAGAGTAGAATACATTTCGTTCATTACCGTTACTTTAATAACAATCACGTCAAATTAATAGAACTACAAATAGAACTTCGAAGCACAAATTTAAAAAAAAATACACGATTCAGTGCGCTAAATTTCTGTTATCTACAGGCATAACATTAATAGACAAGTAGCCTCTAAAACAATAGTTACTAAACAAACTACAGAATTACTATGAAAGATTCATCATTTAAAAAACTGTATACTCAAAAAGTATTATACGAACAGATGTGAGTGGTATTTGTAAATAACCGCAAACTCACTAAATTTGTATACTAAGATTGTGACTGGAGTAAATTTCATGGATATGTTTGCAGTTGTGATTATTTCCGAGGATTCCAGATATTTTGTCTTCCAACAGGGCAAGACACCCCATAATCGAAATATTCAAATTCTTCGATAGTCCCCATTGGCCGGCACTTAGCCGATTTAGGCTTGACCACTGCTATCGGAAGCGGTAGCTATTTTACTGTGGAAACACCTAACAGGTAAGTCACCGTTAACTTTTATGAAGGGACGGACAATTACAGCTGCGTCTTCTACAGGACTCGAACCCGGGCCCTACGGTACAGCAATAGGCTCCCCTAACAACTACACCGTCTAGGCGACAAGTTCTTCGATACCTCAAAGATGAACTTATGATGAACTGAATTGGGCGTATTGGTGAATTTGACCTCGCACTCTTGTTTATGTACTTCCACTGCCAAAAACATTGGAAAAGCTAAGGGAACGGATTGACGTTATAATGATTACTGTTGACAGGATGACGCTCCAAAATGTGTGGAACGAGTTCACATATTCCCTGGACGTGCATCATGTGACCCACGGGGCGCACACAGAACATTTGAAGAGTGTGCAGAAAACTTTGTGAGTTTCTTATTATTTTAATATAGACTCATATTTGTACGTGCAAGACTTTTGAATATATAGCATTTTGAAAACAGAAAGAATCTTTAATAGTAGCCTTGTATTAAACACAAAATATTGGCGCATTTTTAGGTGCGGTAGTGCAACTAATAAGAAAACAAAACGGATACATTGTTCATTTTTATGTATAGGAAAAGTAACTAAATGCTTCTTCTAAAATTTTTATGTATAGGAAAAGTAATTAAATGTAACTTCACGATAAATGTTCGATTATGTAATTTTTTATGCAAAATGTCGTAAAACAATTGTTTAATATTGAGATAACATTTCGAAATTTTTAGAAATTTAGTTCGTTCCTCTGCTTATGTCAAATGATAAAATTAATGTTTTTATGAACTATCATATATTTTTAACTTGAAGTTTTAAGTAAATGCTCACTTATGTGGAATCGAAAAGCTTGGTTTGGTTTTATTAGATTGCGGCAAAGCACTCCAGGGCTATCTGCCTTAAGGGAGGTATGCCTTCGTGGAGGACTTTCTAAGGGAAACTGGCTTGTATACACGTTACACATGGGGAAAACCACGAAAACGCCCATGCAGCCAGCCCGTTCGCCGGATTCGAACCTCGAACCGAACTACCAGTGTTCAGCGACGTTACCGCTCAGCCGCTGGTGGGCCCCGAAAAGCTTGGAATTACAGTTTATAGAATAGCAAAAATTGATAGTCTTCTTTTAACAGCACTATTTCAGAAAGGTTTATTACCAAACTGAAAATCGCTGCCAAATTAGGGCTCTTTTTGCAAAATTGGAAGCCTTGGGCCCGATTATATTAGGCTTATTATATTATATGGGCCCGAAAATATTTTATTAGGCTTGAATATTAGGCTTTCTTATTGTCCCTCGCTCTGTAATTTTTCAATGTTTCATTAAGGCGAATTATATTTCATTTAAAGTATTTCACAAAATATCCTTACAATTTAAATTTTTCGTTCAGTTATTTGAACGAAAGAATACATTTCACTTTCCATGTGTTTCATTTAGTATATATTGCATAAAATAACACTTATATATTTTAAAGCAGAATCTTTTTTTTTTTCCCCTTTTTTTAAAGAACCCAACAAAAACGGAAGAGTCAAAAGAATTGTTATTGATATCCTTTTAAACCTTAATTAAGTTATAATTACATGACTAACTTAATGCCATAAATTGTTTTCAAGTCAGTAATGAACTATATGAATAAAATTATAATTAAAAAATTCTGTTTCCTTTAAACATAAAAGAGAATATTTCTTATGAATTCTGCTTCTGTTTTTTATTTTTAAAATCTAGAATTGAAATATACTTATTTTAAATACTGTAGAAGTTCTGAATATCTCCTTGAATAGAAAGCACCGAGGTAATTCACCCGTTTACTCCTGGAGATCTCAGCGGCCAAATATTACCACTCAAAGAGAAAAGTCATCGGAAAAAAATCCTTTCAAAGAGCAACTTATATTTGTCCATATTTTGGATCAGTATTGTGGGTGATGGGAATAATATTACAGTCACTTACATTAATTAGTACATGGAGGGAAAGGTTGCTATCGATGGACCACTTGTACAAAATGATCCTAAAAATCGTCAAATTTTGGCCATCTTGCAGTGTTACGCTAAGTCTCTTGGCCATATCGGATTTATCATCACGCCTGTTAGAATTTTGTGAGTCCACCTGTGTGACGTAACTTAAGTGCTACCTAGCACTATTTATTTTAGGTTTGACTTAAATTATATTCTACGTTTCTAGTTTGCTCCGCAAGTTTGACGGTGCCTTTGTAACGCACGAAGACCGTGCCTTTCTGTTAACTGTATTTGAATTAATAAAGGGTTATTTTCCCCCTTCTTCTGAGTTGGTAGTTTTCTTCACGCCTGAACGAGAATTCGTCAGGTTATTTTAGAATCTAACCTAGTTTATGTGGAACAAAAAAGAACGACTCTATAAGTGGCGCCCGAACTAAAAGGGTGGTGGCTGATGATTCTACACACCCAGGATTTGGCGATTGGGTCCCTAAAACCCCAATCGCCCTTTAAGAGAAGAAGTATATAAGGTATTTCAACCGCCTTCTTAGCGTGCCTTCGTGGTGTAGTGGTCTGCACGCTGGGCGCGTATTCCAGAGGTCCGCGGTTCGATTTCCGGGTTAGTGTTGCTTATTTTTCACTTTTCCTGCTTCCAAAAAATACCTAATGTCTCTACAAATGTAATGCTACTATTTTATGATTTCTATCGTCTTTTTTGTACTGTTGGCAGATTTATCAACTATTTTCACATATGTGAATATAATTTATTAATGTAGAAATAGACATTACAATTACGAAATGTTCAGTAAATATTAGAAAAATAAAAAAAAGGTGCCACTGGCCTAATGGCTGGTCGCCTTCATTTAGCCGGAGAGTTTCTATGAATTGGCAGGTAGCTATTTTTTTTTTAACACAATGTCATCTTAATAAAAATCAATAATATGCTTAAAATTATTTTGAGTATAATTCGTCAACATAAAATGCTGGTTAGAAGCTAACACAGACCGCTGAAAATACTTTGAAATATACTGAAAAGTAAAATTAAACAAATGCGATACATGTTGAACTGTAAAAGATATGACGGAAATAAATATATTTTTGAATCATTTGTATTTGCGATATTTCATTCGCGTATGAACAGTGAACACATGTTAATGACAGTTTGCAAGAATATGATTATAAAGCAAAATATTTTTATATACTGGCGCCTTTCTGAAATAATGCCATTAATAGAGAATTCCAAAATAAGATGGCCATTTCTCAGTGTATCAACTTAGTTGTAATTTATGCGCGCTGACAACAAACATATGGTCCCTTAATTTTTGAGTAATTAATATCATATACACTTTTTAAAATTTATCTTCTGCCTATCATTGTAAGCAATTTGCGTTCTGCAAACGTATTAATTGTTCATTAGTAAATTAAGAAAATTGTCTAAAACTATAAATGTAATTTATCTTATGCATCTATATACAGTTTACAATCTATTTATGATATTTATATGTAATTCTAAATCTACATTTAATTTAAGAAGAGTACATTTAAGTTATTTTTTGCAGCATTTTATTGTTAAATTATTCAGTTTGCGAACATTAATTACTTGATATTCAAATAAATCCAATATTTAAAACGGCTGTTTCATTGCAAATTTTGAACTATTATTTCTCTTTCCATTGTAGCTTGTCATGATGAATGCCAACAGTGCTTCGGACCTTTAGCTTACCAGTGTAGTAGCTGCCCCTTTGGTCAATTTCTTTTTAAAAATTCCTGTGTTTGGGCTTGCGGACAAGGGTACTTTGGAGATCTCGGTGCTGGAATATGCGAAGGTAAAAAATTACTATTTCCTTTTATCTTATCAAATGCTTTCTGTAGTTTTAAAGGTATCTAAATTTTATAGTTCTTTTTCTTTATATTTACAGCTTGCCATCCAGATTGTCGTACGTGTTTAGGAGGAGCTGCTAAAGATAAATGTTTATCATGTTCAAGTGGCTACTTGCTGCCTTATATCGGAACTCATTTTGGACCCTGTGTGGATGAATGTCCTCCTCAATATTTTCTAGATTCAGGAATCTGCACTGGTATACCTTTCATAGTTTCTATCTGTTTAGCAAAAAGAAATTTACCACTGTAAAAAAAACACTTCTTTCTTTTTAGTTTGTCACGAAACATGTGAAACCTGTTTTGGACCTAATGATACTGAATGTACTTCTTGCAATAGTTCCTTATTCTTTAAGCACGGTAGATGCGTACCACACTGTTCAAACGGTTATTTTCAAGATTTAGGAGTCTGCTATGGTAAGAAAGAATTTTCATCTTGTATAGATATAACAATAGAATTTTTGTATTGTACACAAGATTAAAAAGTGTAATTGTTATTTTCTTCTAAATGTGTAGGGTTTTCCTTATTTTGCATAACAAATTTATTTAAAGTTTAATACCTGTACTGAACCTCTCAACTTCCCCTCACATTTTCTTGCCAGAATGTAAATTTAAAGTGAAGTGAAGTGCATATTTAAATGGGTGAATCTCTAAGTTTATTCAGAACGTGTTTTTCGCTAGCCAGCGCACGTTACGTTGTTGTTTTGTTGTTACGCTAAGTCTCTTGGCCATATCGGATTTATCATCACGCCTGTTAGGTATTTGTGAGTCCACCTGTGTGACGTAACTTAAGTGCTATCTAGCACTATTTATTTTAGGTTTGACTTAAATTATATTCTACGTTTTTAGTTTGCTCCGCAAGTTTGACGGTGCCTTTGTAACGCACGAAGACCGTGCCTTTCTGTTAACTGTATTTGAATTAATAAAGGGTTATTTTCCTCCTTCTTCTGAGTTGGTAGTTTTCTTCACGCCTGAACGAGAATTCGTCAGGTTATTTTAGAATCTAACCTAGTTTATGTGGAACAAGAGAGAACGACTCTATAAGTGGCGCCCGAACTAAAAGGGTGGTGGCTGATGATTCTCCACACCCAGGATTTGGCGATTGGGTCCCTAAAACCCCAATCGCCCTTTAAGAGAGGAAGTATATAAGGTATTTCAACCGCCTTCTTAGCGTGCCTTCGTGGTGCCTGCACGCTGGGCGCGTATTCCAGAGGTCCGCGGTTCGATTTCCGGCGTAGTGTTGCTTATTTTTCACTTTTCCTGCTTCCAAAAAATACCTAATGTCTCTACAAATGTAATGCAACTATTTTATGATTTCTATCGTCTTTTTTGTACTGTTGGCAGTTTTATCAACTATTTTCACATATGTGAATACAATTTATTAATTTCTGAAAATTTGAATACATATGAAACATAATTTCAAATTCTAAAATTTAAAGAATTAATATTGCAGTAAGTTTATGTCCTATTTTATATCGTTAAACTCGTAAACATATATAACATGTAATAGTAAAGTACGACAAATTTGTTTATTTTTCACAAATTTAATAGTTATGAAAACGTATGTCCTATATATACTCATAGTACCTTGCTGAAATCTATATCACATAAGTAAAATACATATTTTATGTTCGTCAAACATCAACATTATTTTCTCAAAATCGTGTTTCTTATTATATATTTATGTATTCATTTCCTTCGTTTAAAAATCATCTATATAATAAAGCATTTAAAGGCTATTTGGAATAAAATTTTCTGATAAATATTTTTGCTCTTCTTTCGTATATTAATTGCTTTTGAATCTAACAGATTCAAAGTACAATATTTGAAATCCTTTCAATTTATCAATAAAAATATCCCTATTAAACAATTTGCACAAAATATTAGTACTTGCGATTCTTGTTTGACTACAATTTTTTTTTTTTAATTTCCAGTTTCATTACCCTTGTATATACTAATGTATATATTTATTTTAAAATGTTCCTGTATAGCGTGCCATCCATCATGTGCTTCTTGCTATGGGTTTAACAGTGATGAATGCTATACTTGTCCACCCGGTAGAGTTTTTAAAGATGGAAGCTGTATTTCTGCCTGTGGAAAAGGAGAATATAAAGATACGGATGGTTCCTGCAAAAGTATGAAAATAAACCCGTTGAAAAGTTTTGCAGATTGTCTATATTTCCCCCATTTAACAAGTTTTACGTCATAGCAACTGCACAGAGAATTCGCTATTTTTTTTTTATTAATGAATTTTTAAACTATGAGTAAACCAACTGATCTAACACTGTCAGTTATAGTCAATATTATTTTCATCAATAACGTTACAATCTAGGCAGTCAAATTTATCAAATATTGCATTTTAATTCATCTATTTATTTTTTATTCATTTTGTCTCAACTAATACACTCATAAATCATTTAGAAATGTTTGCACAAGTCAGTATTATTTTGGTATGTGACTTATTAACTAATTATGTAATTAATAAATATTAATTAATTAATTGTTCAGAATAGCAAAGTGACTCATTACTTAACACTCAGATACAAAAATGGTAACGAAAAATCAAATGCTAGCAGTTCATCACAATATCTTACTAAGAACAATATAAACAACGAGAATGAGGAATTTATATTAAATAGAATTAGTCATTAGGATGCATATTTCCCTGCTGCTCCATAATCTTGCATGTTGGTTGGTTGATTTAAGTAAGACAAAGTACAAAAGAGGTATCTGAGAAGGTAGTTGTCTGTGTTGAGAACTTTCTATTTCTACAGAGAATTGAGTCATATTCATATTACACATACAGAAACCAAGAAAACTTCGAAGCGGGTTCAAACTACCAGTATTCAGCGGTAACGTTCATGGAATGCAAGCTTTATATTACGAAACATTTTTTACGTTTTACAAATTTTTTATGTAAAATACTTTTTGCGGAAAGATAAATTATGATTTGATTCATTAGATTTTTGTCACAGATATATTTTTGTATTATTTTAAGAATAATGTTAAATTCTCCTAAAAATTGGTGAATACTTTATTCCATGTGCATGATATTGTTATAAATTAATGTAAAATTTTATGTGCATTTGTTTACTATAAATTTATATATGTTTCTTTGCATTTATTTATGCAATTAATTTTTTGTATTTTAATCTAAGAAATTTAAGCAAGAAACCTTTCGCAATTTGACTACAGCTTTGGTAGACCTGCAGATATTGAATTAAAAATTTGTAAAATTTAGTGGCAAAATAACAGTTTACCTAGCGATATTCTGAGTACGTAGCGATATTCTGAGAATTGCGAAACTTCTAAATATCAGTACCAAATTTATAGACAAAGTAAATCATTAAAGTTTCAGAAATTTTTAAAAAGTATGAAGTTTCAAGAAATTACATTCAATGTAGTACATTTGCTGCAAATGCAGCTGTCTCTAAATGAGAAGGGTCTATTCTAAATACCTACATATTTTTGCATGTGGAAAACTGAAATATGCATAAAATATTCCACCCTTTTGTTGATATAACTGGGCATTTATATTGGATATCATACATCGCTTTAAACTGATGACGGATGGTTAGTGAACAAAAACTGTACTTGATTACCGTAGGTACAGAGGAAGTGTCGATTTTCATATCTCCCTAATCTCTCACAGAGGAAAAAATTAATTAATTAAAAAATAAAAAATAGCGTATTACACATGATTACCAAAGTTACATTGAAAGTATCTCAGTTGATTTCTACTTAATTAATTAGCATATCTGCTATCCAAGATATAGTACAAGTATATCTCTTCAATTCTATCTTCTCAGTTGATTTCTACTTAATTAATTAGCATACCTGCTATCAAAGATATAGTATAATTGTATCTCTTTAATTCTATCCTCTGCTACGACTATAACAACTAACGGATAAATAATATTTGGAAAATTTTATAATTATATATTTGTGTAATTTTGTAACAATATATATGAAAAATTTATTTTTTTGTTTATAATGCTTACCAGTTTTTAAAATTTTCTACAGTGACTAATTTTTAGAACTTTTCGGTAATTGTACAGGAAACTATTCGATAATCTAATGTAAAAATACAAAGCGATATATAAGATATTAATCGGAAGCTAATTAAGAAATCACTTACAGAAAATGAATCGTCATAATTTTCACATACACTTTTATAATATAACAAATATCTTTCCTTAGCAAAAGTATTCAGCATTTAATGAGGTGCAGAACATCAGTCATTTTAATTAAGAGCATAACAAAAATTATGTTTATCATAATTTTTTATCAAATTTTAAAAATAATTTTAGGTTATAAGAATACAAGTTATTTATTACACTGTCTTATTTATCCGTATCCTTTGCTTACGTGTTTTATTTTAGGATGTCATCCAACCTGTTCTGATTGCAAGCTGAATAGTACAGAAGACGAAAGCGTGCGATGTTTAGAATGCAAAAACCAGCAAAAGTCTATTTTAAATGCAGAATGTTCATCAGGATGTTACCCAAACTTTTATTTAAATAATTACCATGTTTGCCAAGGTTAGTTTATAAATTCCAGTTTTGGCTAATATTTCAGTAATTAAAAATACTGAATTAACTAAAATTTAATTTATTATTGAAGTCTTGTTAGAATTTATATGCAACTGCTTTGTCAAAAATTTGTGTGTTGAAACAAAATTATTGTTTCATACTCACTTTAATCTATATATATGTACAGAATGCCACCCAAGCTGTGCAACATGTGAAAGGCATGGAGCAACTAGCTGTGCATCTTGCTGGGATGGTAATTTTTTGACTCATTTAGGCTCCTGTGAACCTCAGTGTCATTTAGGCTATTTTCCTCTAAATGGACTTTGCCAAGGTACGTAATGGCTCTTTTAAACACGGGACAAATGCAACAGTATAATCAATTTAACAACTTTCATAGTCCAAAGAGAAATTTCAACTTATTCATTTCGGAATGAATGGTTCTAAAATGTAAATTTTAAATCTATCTATCTTATTGACATGCCGATGGAATAAAAATATTTGTGAGGCCGTAGTGGAAAGTTATCGAATATAACTACAGTGAAAGAGAAAAACAATATGACCAGTTACAAAGCTGTACGACATTATTAAATTACAATGATCTTCATATAGTTCTTAGTTACATTAAGAAGTTTAACACTTAATAATTACACTCTACATGTCAGTAAATATAAATCAACATCAAAAGGCATTACTTTGATATAAGCCTAGTAATAAATTAATAAATGAATAGCTGTTATGCATGATAAATGTTAGCTGTTTTAAAAATTTATATCGTATTTGTTGAAGTTTTAATTCATGTGCCTCCCTGATACCTCCACGCGCAGTTTAAAAGTCTAAAGCATGCCACAAAACAGAATATTTGGAATCATTTGAATACTCGAATATCTAGGCTTGCCAGACTGAGGACGTGGGGTTGTTTTACTCTTTTCTTTGAGATGGCAAACTACGTTGAAACTGGCATTGTGAGTTAGAAGGAGAATATACTCCATACTTTCATTTCTGGCATTTTACGATCATATTTTCCAAAATTTGCTCAAAGTAATAGCTATTAGAAGATTTGAGAAAATCTGTATATAACTCCTACAGATCCTTTTTTTTTTTTTATTGAATGGATGATAAAATGCCCGGTATTTGTCCAAATATTATTAAATCCTTTGTGAAATAATCCTTATAAATCCTTTATGAAATGATGTCTTGTATTTGTCAGATATGTTTAATCGGAATATCAAAGTGACTCCAAAAGCTTCCAGTTATGAATTTAACACTCTTGGGATATTCTTTTTGCTTTCCTAATCTGAGCATGAAGATTGCGAATAAGACGTATGAATTAATACATCCGCTCATCTAGGAAGTTTTGAACAAGCGTAGTAATCATTAACTGTAATAGAAATACTATCTACTATAATACGACAGGAATTAATATATAATTATGCCCACCAGCGGCCGAGTGGTAAAGACGCTGAACACTAGTAGTTCCGTCTGAGTTTCGAATCCCGGAAACGGGCTGGCTGCATGGGCGTTTTTGTGGTTTTCCCCATGTGTAACGTAAATACGAGCCATTTTCCCTTAGAAAGTTATCCACGAAGGCATCCCTCCCTTTAGGAAGTTAGCCCTCGTGTGCTTTGCCATAATTGAATAATCCATCCAATCCATATATAACTATACTTACATCAAAGCAATGCCTTCTGAAAGCAATTTTTATGCAAAAATGTGTAATAGCCAACCCTTCGTACTTTAAGATTTTTAAGACCCATAGATGAGTGGATTTATAGTAAGCGACGCCCTGCGTAAAAAGTTAGTGTAATCTTTTCTCTGGCATCTGCGTGGTAGATTTGGAAGATTTCCAGACTTCAATAGCTTTCAGACAAGCTTGTATATTTTACTAGAAATACGAGGGCTATCCAGAGAAAGAGATACGTTGGAATAAAAAAATAAACAAGTATCGGGACAAATTTTATTATATACAGATGAAGCCACACTAAAATACTACTTTGTACATAAGTCACCATACAAATTAAGGCATTTATCGTAGCGATGTACGAGCTTGGACATTCTTCGTCGAAAAAAAATTCGGCCGCCTGCGCCTTAAACCACTTCGTACTCCTTCTTGCAGCTGTGCGTCGTCATCAAACGCCATTGATTTGCAATTTCGTTTCACAGTTCACTGTTTCACCCATGTTCGTCACCAGTACCGATTGCGATCCAGAAAAGGTCACCATCCTTATGGTAAGCGTCCAAAAGTTCAAACGCTGCAGCCATTCGCTGATTTTTGTGTCTCTGTCAAGATTTTTGGAGCCATCTGCACAAAACTTGTGGTCCTCCCTTCCCTCTCCTTTGGTAACCAAGCTTTAGCTGATGATTTCGTGCAACAAAAACTTCGCGAAATTCGTGGAAAACTCAAAGAAAGTTCCGTTATTGTGAAAATTTCGATTTTCACGGACCTTTAGCATCGACTTTTTCGAGAAGTTCGGCGGTCACTATGCTGGTCTCACACTTCGATCTCGTCGTGAACATTGGTTCGGCCATTTTGATATCTTTATGACTCAACTGACGCACTCCACCTCAGTGATAATGTTGTTCCCATGACACTCACGAAGCTGCCGATAGATTTCTATAGGTACAGGTTTTTGCAGTCAGAAACCTTTAATGAGCGCACCTCGCAGATCGAGGGATTTCAATTAACGCAGACATTCCAAACCGGTCACGTATCTGAAAGGAGCACAGCACGAACCTCTCACTGCACGGCTAGATGCAGGACGGAGCTGCGCACGCTCTGACCCCAAATGGCCGCCTAGCCCCGCCCCTAGCGGACACAGACGGAACGATCTACTTCCTGGATGCCCTCGTAAATCTAACATGTGCAGTCCGAAATCATTCATTCTGAAATAAAAGCAAAAAGTGCGGATTTTTCTTTGGATTCTGTATATATTGAAAGAACAAATAATTTCCTCTGAGTTATCTGTGATTAAATATATATGCATATATGTGCATAAAATTTTAGCATATATATTTATAGCAAAAACATATCTAAATTAAAAGAGATTACATAGTGAACATAAAACTGCATTAATGTATTTTTGAGTTTTTCTTAATTTAAATCTTAAGCAGCTCAGCTTGATTTTAAATTTGTTTCAGTCCCATTTTAGAACTTCATTATTTAATTTTAAATTACACACACACACACACATTTATATATATATATGTACACACCGTGTCCATGAGAGTCCTTGACCAGCTTATAGTTTCGCAGCCGTTGGTTGTATACATATATTCCAACTTATGAAAATATTCTAAATGATGCCAAAGATTCATTTTTCGTATTATTAAAATTTAAAGAAATAATTTTGCATAAAACACGAAATATAAATTTTTACATGTTCCTTCGATTCAATTTGCATTGAAGAGTCGTCTAATAAATAAATAAAATTAAATTAGAATAATTCGAGGTTGATTTTTTTCTCCTTTAAAGTGAATTTCACTAAATTTTGCTAAACACAATAATAATTTAATAAATTTTGTTAGACACATTTTGGTTAGACATATTTTGGTTAGACATTTGGTTAGACAAAGTGAATGTCACTAAATTCAGTGACATTCTTTTGTGGTTTAATAATGTCTTGATTTATAATTTTGTTACATTTGGTATGCCAAAAGAATTTTTCACACAAATTATTTGCAAATTTTCAAAGTTCTGGAAATGCATTATTAAAATTCTCATAAAATTTTAGTATTTTAAAATAATAATTTGTTAATCGAAATCATTTACTCAAGTACAAATATTTTTTAATTTTGATTAATGCAAATAATATTAGCTACTTTGGCTACGTGCTGAAACTGAAACTAAAACGGGCTTCCAGTATCTTCTAGTTGGCTACGTGTTGAAAACGGAAGTGTCTTCCAGAACGCGAATTCTGTTAAGATTCGCAAATAAGATCTCTATTTCAAAACGAATCATATTCATCAATATTTTCCCCAATATTATTTACATAGAAATATTCATCACGAAATATTTTAACACCAAAAAGCTTTTACTAAATTATATTTTACTTTTAGTTACGTACAGCAAACATTTCTCTCTTCATTTTGTTTACGTCATTTTAGTATGATTCCCAAATTTTGTATTAAGTGTGCCCATCAAATTCTGTCGTATGAGCGTCAAACCTTGTATTTTTTATGACAAATACATAATTTCTCTAAATAGAAGTATCGGGACTGCAGAAGCATACATAAAGATAGATTTTGTAATTTTTACAAAATTGATTTCTTTAAATTCAAAACTGTCAAAACATGAACCTTTGTGTTATTTAAAGCATTTGTATGTGGAACCAACTAATGGTTGCGAAAATGAACGTAGGGACTTTGTATATATATAATTAAAAATTTAAATTTCATAAATTAAATTAATTTGTTAATAAAATTTGTGCTTGACACTAGAATAAGGCATAAATGAAAACTGAAGGGCTCGGATCTAATGATGCCCAAAAGGACTTTTTAAGATTAATAAATATGAGAGATTAGAGATAGAGGGGACAAGGGAATAGCGAAATATTTATAGGGCATAGCTGATTGATTAGACGAACAGGGAAATTGTTTATCTCGTATATTTTAAAAAGGGAAAACTATGCAACGTAGTATAAAATGCTTACGTTTTTGATTGGATAATCGTGTATTAAATGAATTTTATTTAACCAATCAATAAAAAATAATGTAATTTAGACAGCATCTATGTTTTAATAGTTTGTTAATTAATAACAGATAGACTAAATATGAAGAATGGTATCTAACGTTTTTTTCAAGTGGCAACAGACTAGATGAAAGTGAAACGACGCAAAATAGCGCTTCCAGACAAATTGATTTTTCGAGCTAATAATAAAACATGTAAAGAGGAATTATAATAATATAATATTGCAATGCAATAAGTTCATTTGATTTTGAGACTGGAAAATAAAAAAATATATATATATATATTTAAGAATTTTTCAATCAGGGTGAAATAAAGTTGAGAAAATTGATAATTGGAAATAAAACAGAACAACTTTAAACAAAATCAAATAAAGAAAGATTAATCTTACCCAGTTCTTTCTCAAGGAGCCAGCTAAGTTCAGATAAATCTTCCTTTATTTAAAAATTAAAATTATAGCAGTGTTTTTGATTGCATCAAAGTAGATCGAAAAAACTGGGCAAGCAAATCTTCAAAAGAATCATTAAAAGTAATAATTTATGCAAACTAGTAGGGAATAAACAGATTTACTTAGTTTCTATCATTTTCAGTCCATTTGATTTATTGCATTGGAATTATTATTATATGCCCTTTTTACATGTTTTATTATTAATGCTTTATTCTAGTTCCTTATTAGAGAGTAGATGTTTTTTATTTTTAATCCTTTTAATTTATATTTTCAATGTTTGCCGCTTTAGGACATAATTTATTAGAGTTCTTTTGGAAATTCAAAAATTTTTACACCTTTTTTAAATTGCATCCAGTTAATTTGCATTATAAGTAAACTGCTGCCTTACCAGTTTTAAATCAAGTTCGATACTCGTATGTAACATGAGAGCATAAATATTATTCTGTTAAGAAATTTTTCAATTGCTGCGGAATATGAAAATTACAAACAAAACTATCATAATTACTTATTTGCAATAATCATAACGTAAGTACATTTTCATATTAGCTTGCATAAAAAAGCTTCCCTTAAGAAATATACTATATTTATCTTATTTAACAATCAGAGCGCATTTTAATGTTCCGGTGTGAAGCAAAGAAGGCAACAGAAGAAATTCTACAGAAACTCAAACCTGCTACCAAAAAAGTGCTCATTTATAACAACTTATCATATCACACATACTCTTAACTTGGTTACCTCTACATCAGTCGAATTAGAAATTTTGATTAATTCTCTTTCTAAATGTGTTCTTGCATAGGAGACTAATTAAAGACAAATATTTCTAGAACAATCTTAACAACAACTTTATGAGATAAAAAATTCCGCGGTGGACTCTGTTTACTTACATAACTTAAGGGAACCCAGTACCTTTCAAATGATGTTTTTTTTTCTACTTTGTATGAATAATATTAAGTGGTTTTAGAAGAAAACTTGATTTTAAGCTGAAAAAATAGTAATGTTTTTAAAATTTAAATTTTTTGAAGAAAAGTTTAACAATTAAAAAGTGTTTCTTCTCCTACAATTTTTAATATTTTTGCCCCAAATGCTTCATTGCATTTATTAGAGAGCTCTTAATAACTTTAAGGATCGAATTTACAATTAATCAATTAGTTTCTGAGCAAAAAATAGAAAGCACGTTTTTATGTAAAACGTATGTTCTCAATCATATTTTCACTTCCAATAATTCTTGTTTTCACTATTTTGCGAAGCCTATCTTTGTTTCTACAAAGTATATAATTTAAAATACGATATCTGTATAAGTTTTAGGATTTTAAGTAAAAGGATATGTTGAAAACATGCAAACAAAGAAAGCGCTGTTTAAAGAATGTAAACTGTCTGAATGGTCATTAAATCATTTCAAATTTATTAAAATTTTATTGCTGAATTTCAATACATATGCATATAAAATAAAACCTAGTACTATTTATTGGTTAATATAAACATGAATTACAAGCTCTTATCTGGCTAGAAATATTGCAAAAAAAATCATAAAATGCAAGTAAAAGTTTTCATTACCTGTTTTTGTTTTCTAAAACAGATTCAAAACAATTTTAATATCTGAATTAATTATAATATATTTTCTAAAACTTCACTTTATATTTAAATAAATCAGTCTATACACATAAACAGAGTTTTCTGATAATTGCAGTCATATTTAATTACACTCCTTTTCATTTACACTGATTTTTGATAAATGACTGAAAAAAAATTAAGAAATTAAAAAAATTAACTCTGAGGAGGTGTGGAATTTAAAGGGTTGTCAAAACTTTTAAAACCTTGTTTATATCATTTATTATTGCCAGATCATTTCAAAATTTCTCGTCAGGTAGTAAGGGTATTAAGGCATTTTTCTAGAAGAAAATTTAAAAATCGGTACTTTCATCGATTTTGGGGGTACTAAGTCCCTTTAAATAAATTGTAGCATAAAGATAGAATTTAAAATTGATTCCAAACTCTCCGTCTTTCATTATATAAACAAAAACTTTCTATTTTAGCTTGTAACTACAACTGCCATCATTGCATCAGCGCATCTACATGCCTTCGATGCAAAGGTGATTTGGTTTTACAGTTTGGAGAATGTGTTCCACAATGTTCTAACCAACATTACGTTGATACTGTTAGCAGAGAGTGCAAAGGTTTGTTTATATATTAAATTTGCTTGAATTATATCACATTTATTCAAATATATTTTGAATAAAAAATATTAAAACAAAATTCTGTATATTTAAGAATGTTCTTGGGAATGCCATACGTGTCGTGGACCATTACCAACAGATTGCACATCTTGTATGCCGGGAAAATTATTTGAAGATGGAGCTTGTGTGGACCAGTGTTCCAATAGGTTTTTTCAAAATGGTTCACTATGCCAAAGTAAGTGTAACTCTTAATATTTAAAACTGCGTTTAGGAAAATAAAAATGTCATGAATTTTATGTTAATTAATGAATATTACACATTTTGTTTTTATCCATTTTTTTCTGTTACATTAAAAGAAAGAAAATTTAACGTAGCGTATTTTTAATCATCATGCAGATTGTTTTGGCAAAAACGGACTTTTAACTACAATATTTTGCATGCGAATAGATCATTATTGCAAATACATTGTTGTACATAGATGATTTTAGCCTTCCTGTTTATACCGGAAACTGGACCGAGTTTCCGATATAAACAGGAAACTTTGAAACTACTTTTGACTACTTTGCAAAATAGAGGAGCAATTAATGGGAAAACAGCATTCGAATTTTCTTTTTCTTTACTTTTCTTCATTTTGCGCTTTTGAAATCTATAGTAAGGATAAGCCTGTGCTTATTTATGAAAGAATGATAGGATGACTGTTTATGTAAATCTTAGGAAGCTAACAGCGAGTGAATTTAAGTACCCAGAAGGAAATTATCTGCAAAGAGACAAATAAGATTTGATTTTTCATTTATAATTTCTTATACCGAACGTAGAATTTATCAATACTTAAAAATAAAAACTTTTAATAAGACTGTATTTAGAATATGCGATTACATTTTCCATTACTGAGGAAAATACTAGTGTAAAATAGCATGAATAACCCACTTGAAGACCACAGATAATTCTCTGCGATCTATTCTCTGTGGTGTGCGCCTTTGAAAGGCTTACTGTACAAAAGAAAAGCACATTAGAATAAAAGTCTCCAGTGCCATAATTTATGGTCCGGAAAGTCTTTTGAAATTAATAGCAGTAAACTTGTCATTATGAAAATCGTATCGGGAAATGACTCGAATATGCTAGACCAGTGGTTCTCAGCCTTTTTTGTTCTATGCATCCCTTTTATCATTACTAGGTGATCATTCCAGGCTTCTTTTCCAAAACTTGAAAAATGCATATACATTTATTTAAATTTAGATTGTTTTTGATGTGCTTTAACTAAGTCAAACAAGAAAAATATAGAAAATGTGGTAAATGGGAAACTTGCACAAAAATGTTTTTTTTTTTATATATTCATAAACTAAAACTAAAAAAGCGGTAAAAAGGTTGACTTCATCCCCTCCCACTGAAACTATGAAATTTCCGGTAAAGGGTATGTGGTTGAGAATCCTTATGCCAGACTAATTCGTCTTTAAAAATTGTGTCACAAAATCCTCCAGGACTGAAGTGTCTAATAAAGTGTGCATTAAGCTATGGTATTTTATATTTTAATAACCAATGCAAAGTTTATTTAAATCATATTAAAAAAGTGTTTTTTAATATTTTCTTTTCTTTTTATTTCTCCATTTTCCAAAGCTTGTGACTTAAAGTGTCTGACATGCTCTACTTTGAATAAGTGCACTTCTTGTGATCTTCCTTTATTGCTACTCAAAGGAGAGTGCATAGATGACTGCGGTGCTGGAAGATATGCTGATTTTGAAAAATTAATTTGCAAAGGTACTAATTTCTTATCATACTCCAATACAAATAAAACTTTGATTGATTTTAGTATTTCATAAGTAATTTTTACATTATTTTCATACCATTATTATCTACAGTATTTTGAATTGATTTGAATGGCTCTGTAAATAATTATTCATTGAAATATTAAATTTAATAATTTATAAATAAGTTTATGAATTTTAATTATTTTATAAAGAAATTATTAATGCATTAATAAAAATACAATCGCATTCCTTTAATAATTTTTCAAAATAAATTATTTTTAATTTATTGCGCATTTTAAAATTGTTTTGTGATCGAAGAATTACAAATTAATTAGAGTAGTTATGTAGAAATAAATTAAAATAAATAATAAGCTTAACAGCATTTACTTTTCTTCATTTTGCACTTTTCTAAATCTATAGAAAATTTCGCATTAAAATCCCGTATTAAGTTCGGAATAAATCATATACAAAAAGCAAAAACTCGAAATGCAGTTTCAAACTAAATGAAAGCGGTAAGCACACTAAAATGAAACAAAGAAAAATAATCCTTGCATCAGCTTCATGGGGTAACAATGGAAGAACTAAATAAAAATCAGCCTGTTTCTGAACTAATAAGACACAAAGTTCAATACATTAAATAATATCTGAAAAGCAATCAAAGTAATCAGTCTCAGTTCAACTCCTACAGGTCGATAAGTACCGTAAAAAACTTAAAATTATAGCATAAAAAATACAAGCAAATTTGAACGAAGCTTAAAAATATTAATTCAGAAGTCAAACAACAAAAATCAGCGTTATACCTACAAAATTTTCACAGGACTAGTTTCGATGGTTTTACCGAACCATCATCTTCAGCTGCAAAACCGCAAATGAACAGATAGGAAGGAAATAATGATTAGATAAGATAAGAAAGCCTGGACAAGAATAAGCAAGAGTGGCGCCATCTGTTGGCGAAAACCAGAACAAAAACATAATTTCTCTAAAAGCCGAAGGCAAATTTGGATTGGAATTAGGATCGTTTAACTAGAACAGAAAGATTTTTATGAATGTGAAATGCCTCTAGAAAATCCAGTTCTCCAATGGAAGATGTTTTTTGAATAATTTTGGTAGCAGAAAAATTGAAAGTGTGATTTTCGGACCAACAATGTTGAGCAACAGAAGACTTCTGTGTTTCCTTTTTTCTAACATATGCCTCATGTTCTTTGACGCGAAATTTTAAGGCTCTCTTAGTTTGGGCCAATGTAAATTAAACCACACTGGCAAGGAATCCTATAAATACCCAGGAATTCATATCCGGAATGGGGTCCTTGAGTATAGAAGTTGGAATTTTATTGATGGGAGAATAAACAACCCGAAAGTTAAATTTCTGCAAAATATGTGCAACTTTATAGCTAATTGATGGAAAGAAGGGAACGACAACAGAATTTTTATAATCTCCTAAAATAAGAGTGTGGCTTTTAGTGTGTTGAGATGAGAATTTTTTAACTGCTTGATTAATAATGTTGGATGAAAAGCCCAAAATATTATTTTGAGTAAACCGAGTACAAAAAACATGTGAATGCAAGCAATAAAATACAGGAAAAAATATAAATAAATAAAAATTATGAATCCACATCGGCCGGTTAATTTTTTTCCTGAATTATAATATCAGAAGCATATTTCAATTTAAGTGGACCGAATCCAAAAACATAAACATAAAAAATAGAAGCAATCCAACATATAAAAAATTATTTTTATATGGATTATTATAATCCAACATATAAAAATTTTGATCTTAAAATAGGAATAAAAAAATGGAATGAGGAATTAGTTCTTAAAATCTGTAAAATTAGAACAACAACAGTTCTGAACAAAAAAGTGTATTCAACATGTTCTGTAGCAAAATGCTGTTGCTAAACCTAAAATGAGTTAAGTAATGAAACCAGATCTATGAATTCTAAACTGATTAATAATAGTAAAAATAATTAGAAAAAACTTCTATTATAACATTAAATATGGTGTAATAAAATTAATAATTTGTAAAAGGAATAAACGGCGAATTAGTTTGGATCGTAAATCCTAAAAGAATAGTTTGCTTCAGCTCAACAAATGGAATAAACTGTAGTGTTTTTTAAAGAATCTAAATGCAATTTTGATGACGTTATTGCAGTGTCTAGTAAACTGTGAGCAAAGTTTTGAATACTCTTAGACAATGTAAATGGGGAATTTAGCAAAAGCATTGCAAATTATAGGTAACCTAGAAAAGAAAAAAAAGAGAGATAAAAGGCAGAAACGAAGAAAGTTGTTAAGTTTTACAGAATATAGTTAAATGGGCTTTCCTGAGACTTAAAAACTGAAGTAACAGCAATGAGAAAACTCTTGCTCAGTCTCTGTGCAGGATTAAAATAAAGTGCTCTGAGATTATAAAAGCTCTGGCCACGATTTACGCACTTTCTTTTGCTGCCTACGCTTGCTAACTAAAAGACGTCTCTTGTTTGGCTGCTTCTATTTATAAGGTGTTTCTCCCGCTTTCCTAGCGTATCTTCGTGGTGTAGTGGTCAGCACACAGAGCCGGTATTTCAGAGGTCCGTGATTGGGTTCCCGGCGAAGGCAGTTGCTAATTTTTCATCTTTACTGCTTCCAAAAATCCTAATGTCTCTACAGTAGCGCCCGAGCTAAAAGGGTTGCGGATGATGACTGTCCACGCCCAGATTTGGCGATCGGGTCTTCTAAAAACCCCACTCGCCCTTTAAAAGGGGGAGTATGTAAGGTATTTCTCCCGCCTTCCTAGCGTGCCCTCGTGGTGTAGTGTTCAGCACACTGAGCCGGTATTTCAGAGGTCCGTGGTTGCTAATTTTTTATCTTTACTGCTTCCAAAAAATACCTAATGTCTCTACATATTCATTATTAAAAATATAATGCGTCGTAATTAAAATTGTGGGGTGCAGATCGCCAACATCGAGTTGTGTCATGCCATGTATCTGAATAGAGTATTCAACAAGTAATAAAGATATGTTCAAATTATCAAGATTTTGTAATTCTTTAGAAGTTACATCCAGTAAGATATCATTTCCAGTTATCTACAAAGCAGCAGTTTTCAGCTATAATTATTAGTGAATAAATCTACTAAATTGTATCCTCGGACCAATTATTGTTACATATATATATATATATATACAGAGAGAGACACATATATACACATGTATCTATATGTATCATAATATATTTTTTCCAGAATGTAGTTCAGGCTGTGCCTTTTGTTTATCTGCTGAACAGTGTGATTTATGCAAGAATGGCTTTTACCTCTACGAAGCTGCATGTGTACAAAACTGTCCGCCTGAGTATTTTGCTGATGATACTTCTAGAATTTGCAAAAGTAAGTGAATAATATCTATACATGAACAAAAAATGGATATAAACGCATGCACGAAATTAAGTGAGTAAAAATTTATTTGAATGTTTTAAAATTTCTTTTGATTTATATTTTGTTTTCATAATTTTTACTTCTTTTGACGAAATAAAGGATGTATTGTAATTGTGTATAAAAATTGTCACGTTTATGCTCACGAATTCACGATTCTATTTTTTTTATATAAAAACAAAACATTTAATGAAGAGCTTATGTACATTATTTACATTATTGAAAGCACAATCATACATATATATAAATTTTCCCATCATAGGGCCAATATTCGTTTATCAAGAACAATTACCCTATGCGGCCAAGATCAGATCATTTTCAAGGCGTCGCCCTCAAGCTGACTAAAGAGAAAGTGTATTACATTCCTTCTCTGCCGCCAGTCACGTGACCTAGTCGGCGACAGACGATAAAAAATAAAAGAAAAAATGAATCCATCGGAGGGAAAAAGAAATAATTTCAACAAACTCCCCCCCCCGATGAACAATAGGTTCATCATAAATTTAACTAACTATTACAATATTACTATAACAATAAGAAACAAATAAAAATTACTTACATATACAGGTCACATTATATCAATAATTTCTTAACATCAAGAAAATTTTTTCTGAAACTATAGAAAAAACAAAACATTTAAATTAACATTTCTCAAGATCACCACAAATCATTAAACCAAGGAAAATAATAATGAATAAATGAAAACATTATGAAAAAGAACATTTTTTTTTCTATCATCAGTTTATCAGTCATTCAGTCCAATTTTTTTTTTTTTTAACCAGTCACTGATTATTGCAATTACTGATATCATCAATTTCTAAATTGTACAATAGCTGCACTGGACGTTTGATTACCGAATTACCAGTTTTCACTTCACACGATCTGATCATTCCATCTCTACCAATAAAGGTTTTGGTTATTCTTCCTAATTTCCACCAGCTTCTAGGTAAGTTTTCATCATGAACAAGCACTATATCATTTACGTTGAATGCAGAATGGTTTCTTCTGACCGGTATAATGAGCAGATCTCAAGCACAGGAGATATTCTTTTTTCCATCTGTTCCAAAAGTGATTTATTAGATTTTCTCGTGTACGGAAACGTTTTAACATTACTTCTCTGGAACCTGATAAATTCAAGTCATTCCTCCTTACAGCTGGCAAACTAAAGAGTCGTTTACCAATCAACAGGTGGGGTGGAGTAAGTGCGGAGGGCTCTTCAAGATCAGAAAAGACATATGTTAATGGACGCGAGTTTATCGTCGCTTCTATTTCAAGCAAAAGCGTTTCTAATTCACTTTGAGTCAAAGATGATTTCCCAATGTTCTTTCTTAAACTAGTTTTACACTGCGAACTAAACGTTCATAAAAACCGCCCCACCAGGCAGCACGTTCCACAATGTATTTCCATGTGATTCCATGCGAAGCATAAAATTTTTTAACTTCAGGGTGGTTAATCACTTTCCACATTTGCTTTAATTCAAGTTCGGCTCTTTTAAATGTTCTAGCATTGTCCGAGTACACAGTGGAACACAAACCTCTTCGGGATACGAACCTGCGGAACGCAAGTAAAAATTCTTCAGTGCTCATGCCTTTTACGAGCTCAAGGTGAATAGCTCTTGTAGTAGCGCAAGTAAACAATAAAATGTAGTATTTGTTGTCATTTTCTTTTACATACAAAGGACCTGCAAAATCGAGTCCCACAATTGCGAAAGGTGGAGATTCATTAACTCTATCCGCTGGAAGAGGTGCAGTGACTTGTTGTCCAGGACGTACATTATATTTTTTGCATATTATGCATTTACTCAGGATTGATTTGACGTATATTGTTTTCCTCTTAAGAGCCAGAATTTTTCACGTATATGCACTAGAGTATCCGATACTCCCGCATGATAAAACCTTTTCATGAGCGTCTCGTACTACTAATTCACTTAATTTATGTTTTGAAGGGATTACTATTGGATGTTTGTTGTTAAATAGTATAGTAGGTTTGACTTTTGTAACCGACATCGTACCAAAAGTAGACCTTCATCTGATAATATGGGATTTAATTCGAACAATTTTGAATCTTTTGGAATATGCTTGTTTTCTCTTAGAGACTCTATAACTTCAGGAAAACTATCTTCTTGAGCTTGTTTTAACCAAAAGATTTCAGATTTACTGATTTCTTCTGCTGAAATTTCCGCAAATTTCTATTTTCCCTTTTTACTTTTAAAATTTGATATAAATCTGAAAATCCAAGCAGTCACACGATAAAGTTTTTTTCAAGGAACTAAATTTTGTCAAATTCATGAGTGGAACATTTTCAGTTTTGTCTGTTTTGATC